GCGTGTGTGTGTGTGTGCGTGTGTGGGGGGGGCACCAAAGCTCTTACAACCACCTACATTCACCACCGCCACCGCCTGCCCGGCTGGGCTCATCGCCAAGCACCTGAATTCTCAGGTCTCAGCTCAGGCCCGGGGCTGCCTCCAAGCGCCGCCCAGAAGGACGGGCCTCAGGGCCTTGAGGCTTGCTGCCCGTTCAGCTGGGAACCCTCATCCTGCCCGCAGGCACAGGGCCCTCCTCCCTCGCCTCCTTAGTAAGGCCTTTTCTAACCAGCCTACGTAAAACAGATAATCCCCGAACTCATTCCATGCTTTATTAAAAATATGTTTAATTGTGGTAGAAGACACCATACTGTAAGAGCACGCCTTTAGCAATGAAAAACATTTGAGCCGGCTCGGTGGCTCAGCCTGTCATCCCGCGCCTTTGGGAGGCTGAGGTGAGTGGATGGCCTGAGCCCGCGGGTTCGAGACCCGCCTGGGCAGCGAGACCTCATCTCGACAATCAATCAAAAGATCAGCCGGGCGTGGTAGCGCGTGCCTGTAATTCCGGCTACTTGGAAGGCAGAGGCGGAAGGATCGCCGGAGCCCAGGAGGCGAGGTTGCGGTGGCCTGAAGCGGCCACTGCACTCCAGTCTGGGTGACTGAGTGAGACTCCAACTCAAAACAAACAAACAAGCAAACACATTTGAAAGGGCGCTGAAAGCCATATAACACAAACTGCACCATCTTAGCTATTTTGAATGGCACAGTTCAGGAGTGGGAAGTGCAGGCCAATCCTCAGAGCACTTTGCAAATCGGAAAGTCGTATACCCTTTGGATAACAGCTCCCTGCTCTCTCCTCCCCTTGGCCCCTGGCAACCACCACTCTACTTTCCGTCTCTATGAATGTGACCAGACCAGAGACTTTATAGAAGTGGGATCATACAGTGTTTGTCTTCTGGGATTGGCCTATTTCACTTAGCATAAGGTTTATCTGTGTTGCAGCTGTGCCCAAATTGTCTTCCTTTTGAAGGCTTAATAACATTCCACTATGTGTCTGGACCACATTTTGTTAACCCATTCATCCACCCGTGGACACCTGGGTGGCTTCCATCTTTTGGTTGCTGTAATGCTGCCATGGACGTGGGTGTGCGCTTATCTCTTTGAGACTTTGCTTTCAACTCTTTTTCCATGCCTTATTTTTCCGCGGGGCACTTGTCACCATCCAACTGCCTGACCGGCTGGGAGGCGGCGACTGCAGGCTGCTGCGGACACAGCTCGTGTCGAGGGGGTGTGCACTTTAGAGAACTGAGGTCAGCCAGAAGATGGGGCCCTGGGCTCAGGGACCCCCGATGCCCAGGGCTGCCCACTGTGGTCTCCATCCAGCCTCTAGATCAGCAGAAGGGGCCCAGCCAGGACAGGCCTGAGACCTTCCCAAGGGCAACGCCCAAGTAGGGGAAACTCTGTCCGCTTCCCGCCCATCCCCACCCCTTAAAGGGACATGGAAAAGGATGGATGGAGGGAGAGAGCCCAGAGCAAGCCCCCTCCGGTAGGCCCAGAGCCAGAGTCTAGCCTGGGGGCAGGAGGTGGGGTGGTTGAGTAGGAGCACCCCGAATGAAAGCATTGTAAGAACCAAGAGACCAAAAAAGGGCGATACTGAGTGCCTCAGCATGTGATGGCACAAACGAGTCTGGGCACCCCTGGGAGCTGCTGGAAAAATAAGCTCAGGTCCTTGAGCTCACTGTGCCTCAGTTTCCTCCTCTATAAAATGGGTACGATAATGTAGTAGCCTGAACCTCTTAGAGGTGTTGTGGGATCCACCGAGTTGATCTATGTACAATGCATGGCATTGACCTGGCACTTGGAAGGTGCTATAAAGACTAGTTTGCTTGTTTGTTTTCAGTTGGGGGTCTCACTGTGTTGCCCAGGCTGGAGAGCAGTGGCAAGATCATGGCGCCTCAGCACCCCAAGTAGCTGGGACTACAGTCTCGCATACCAAGCCCAGCTAATTTTTTTTTTTTAAGAGACGATGTCTTGTTATGTTGCCACCTAATTTTTTTTTTTAAGAGACGATGTCTCGTTATGTTGCCCAGGCTGGTCTCGAACTCCTAGGCTCAAGCGATCTTCCCTCCTTAGTCTCCCAAAGTGCCGGGATTACAGGCGTGAACCACTGCACCCATCCCAGCACTTTGGGAGACAAGGCAGGAGGATTTGAATTCAGGAGTTCAAGATCAACCTGGGAAACGTAGTAAGACCTTGTCTCTACAAAATTTTAAAAAATTAGCTGGGCGTGGTGGCATGCACCTGTAGTCCCAGCTACTTGAGAAGCTGAGGCAGAAGGACCACCTGAGGCCAGGAGGTCGAGGCTGTGGTGACTCGTGTTTGTGCCATTGCATTCCTGCCTGGGCAGCAAAGTGAGGTTCCGACTCGAAACCAAACCAAAACAAAACAAAAGCCCCCAAACGAAAAACAGGAGTTGTCAGTCGTTCTCCAAATTGTGACCCCTGCCTGCCTCAGTTAAACGTGTCTCCCTTCCACATGATTCAACCGCAGACGTCTCTGTGGTGGGACCCACTGCTTTCTACCAGGGGCAGAAGCGGGTCCCCCGGGGTCGGGCCACCCGACCGGGTGCAAGGCCCTGCTTCCAACCCCCAGGGCTTTGGCAGCCCTGACTTATGGACCCCCGGGAGTTTGAGAGAGGTTTTGTGAGTGGAGGGCTGTGGGGTGGGGGTGAGAGGCAGTGGGGGGACAGCGGGGAGCACAGAGCAAAAGCGTGAAGAGCGATTTGCTTCGGAAACGGGGCTGCAGGCCGCGGCTCGCCCCGGTCGCAGGGAGGTCACGCAGGCCCAGCCAACTGCAAAAAGCAGAACTGCAACAGAGCCCCGGGGCAAGACCTTCGGGAACCTTCTCCCAGGACGCCCAGGCGGGCCCCCAGGGCCCCGGTCCCGCAGCAAGAGCTGCCGCTCCTCATTCCCGGAGGGGGCCGTGCGGGACGAACGCCCGCTGTCCTTCCCCCACGGGGGAGGCGAGCGTGGAACCCAGAGGGGGCCCTCCCCCCACCCAGCGTGCTCGGCGGGG